GGGAGAGAGAGCGGGCGAGTTAGCCCAGAGCCAAGGAGATTAAAAGATTAGTTCTAAACTCCTTGCCCAGAGCCCTTTCTTTCTGATTGCCAACGCCGAGCTGTCAGTCCACATCGCTAGATCTAGCGCTAGAAAAAGAAACCTGATTCGATTTTTGATCAAGTAAGATCTAGATGTCATGTTGAATCAAAATCATCATCAAGGGAGATATCAAAAGGAGATAAACAGAATACCAAACTCATAGATTAGGCCTACTTTACAGTTTCCCTTGAATTTATTACTGGATCCCTTATAGCGAGAATCCTGCTATAATGGACATTTTGCTCCGGTCCCCTCCCTTTCGTTATAACAGGATTCCACTGTAATTAATTCTGAGAATTTCTGGGTTTTTTATTTTTGTATTGTTCTTTTCAAATGGGTTTGATGTTTATCAGTTCTGAGGCTGTGTTTGCACTGGTGGTGAAAATGACAACAGCTGAGGACGTGATTGCCTTACGATATATGTCAAAGTTTTAACACCCTCAAAAGAGCATGCTGTGGTCGAATGAGCGCGGTTGTGTGTATGTATGTATGTATGTATGTATGTATGTATGTATGTATGTATGTATGTATGTATGTCTGTCTGTCTGTCTGTCTGTCTGTCTGTCTGTCTGTCTGTCTGTCTGTCTCTCTGTCTGTCTGTCTGTCTGTCTGTGTGTGTGTTTGTGTGTGTGTGTGTGTGTGTATACGTGTGTGTGTTTGTTTGTGTGTGTTTGTGTGTGTGTGTGTGTGTGTATACGTGTGTGTGTTTGTGTGTGTACTTGTATGTAGGCATGTTTGTATGTACCTGCAATTTATATGATATTCATTTTTGTGGCAAAGTTAAGCTGTGAGTCGAGAGGACACATGATGCTCACACATCACAGCGGGCTTGGCCCGAGCTGTTTTGTCTTCTCTTGATCTGATCGCAATATTTTTTATGTTGACGTTTTTGGGTTGCTTTTTTAGAGTTGATACTAGATCTGGGTATTTCAAATTGAAAAAAAAATCTATTCTACAGATTGTTGTAGATCGTGTGGGGACTTTCCTTTTTTCTAGTATTGACCGTAGATAGATGGATTTTTTTTTTCACCTTTTCTGGAGTTGTCTATACATTTAGCTGCATTTAATTCTTCTTGTTTTTTTGTTCATGTTGAGCCTGAAGAATATTTTGAATTTACAATTTGTATTTTGTTTTCAGCGTTTTATAATGTGTTTAGCGTTTTGTGATCTATACTGTGCCCCTCGGGGCAGTGCCACTGACTGAAGTGTCTTTAGGCCATTCCCAAAGGTTGGACATTTCTCGTTCAAGCACAATAGAATTGTAAATGGGCTGACTCATGTCACGCTCATAACTGTGCCGGATCTACAACAGTGAACTGCTGCTTTTTCTTTCCTGATCCTTACTATTGTCATTTTCTTCTACTTCTTTTGTATGTTTGTCACTCCCTTGTGACCTGCTATTTTGGGGTGCCTTGATAGTCGAAGCAGACCTTGTGCTGTTGAAGCTAGAGAGGTGAGCAGAGTAAGTCTGATTCCCAGTAATTTACTTCTCAGTTGACACCCACCCCTTGGCGCTCATATGACCTTATGCAGTTGCGAGCGCCGTAAAACCCTCTACTATAAAAAAAAACAACCAAAAAAATAATCCATATTGTGTGGTCTTCGTTTACGGATTTGTTCTGCGTTTTGTAATCTAATTTTGTATGTTCAACAATTTGTGATCTGTTCAACGTTTGTAATCTACATTATATGTTCAACATTTTGTTGTTTCAGTAGTTGAGTGCCATGCGTTTTATTACATTTACATATTATTTATTATATGTATGATAATCGTTACATAATTATAACACATTTATTATGATATAATGTATACTAATCTTTTCTATATTATCATAACATATTCTTTGAATGTGCAATAATCTTTACCATTTATATAGCTTTAAATACTAAGGTTTCCACTGACTCTCAGTGTGGGTGGTTGGCGGGTGCTCTGGTGTGGTTTGTTCCCCCTTTCCTATTAAACATCTGTCGACCTTATATCACCCGGGGGTTTTTTCTCTTTGATTATCAGTGTGCAGCATCCCCCCCACGTCAGTGCTACTAACTGAAGTGTCTTTAGGCCATTCCCAAAGGGGGGACGTTAACATGTTCTTATGAACAGTGGAATTGTAAACGGGCGGATTCATCAATGTCATGTTCATACTGTGCCGGAAGAGCATAGGGGGAACTGTTGCTTTTTCTTTCCTCATCCTTATCAATCTGTCGTCATTTTACCTCTTCTTCCTTTGTATGTTTGTCACTCTCTTGTGACCCGCTATTTCCGGGGTGCCTTGATAGTCGAAGTAGACTTTGTGCTGTTGAGGCTAGAGAGGTGAGCAGAGTAAGCCTGATTCCCCGTTTGGACTTCTCTTTTGTCATCCACCCCTTAGTGCTCATATGACCCTAATATTATTTTGCAGTTACAAGCGCCCTAAAACCTTACTAAAATAAAAGAAAGCCTTAAAATATTGTGGAAACAGAGGTGCTGATTCGAAATTTGTTAGCTCTTGTGTTATAGGTCAGAGTTTTGCAGAGTTCCACATGTTTATATAGTTTTATCTATTCTTGCAGGTTTTAGGGGAGGAAGGAATATCAGGTTGTATTAATGGAATATGACCTATATTTATACTGCAAGTGCCGTAACATTTTACTCAACCCGTTCCCATAAGTGTTGTGATTTTCGATGTGACGACACCGTTCCCCGGTAGAGTCTGTAGAAAACACAACTTCCCTGTCATGTGATACTCCGGTGTGAGTTGTTCGTTTGTGAGGGAACTGTTTTAGCTTTGAAATAAATAGGAAATCTTTTGCTTCTAAAACAAATGAGTGGTTGTGAGTGTGTTTTGTCTTGTCTGTTGCAATCTT